TGTATAGCCCACGATATCTCTCTGAGGGCCTACCCAGCACGCGCAATACGTGAGCCTATCACCTCAGCAGGGTTTTCTCCCACCAATATGAGTGGTCACTCTACTGGGAGGTCGCCCGGCAACTCTTCTGAGAGTGGGGAGCTCCCCGGGTAGATCTCTTCGCTACCGCCCAGAATCGCCTCTGCCCCAGTTCTGCTCCAGGGCCGGGGCGGAAAGGGGGGCGATCTCGGATGCATTCCTCCTCCGGTGGTCAGGCCAAATGTTCTATGCCTTTCCACCATTCCCACTGATAGGCAGGGGTCCTGCAGAAAGTAAAGACGAACAGGTCGAGAGTTATTCTCATAGTCACAGATTGGCCCCGACAGCATTGGTACGGGACCCTTCTGCAGCCCCCCCACGGAGGCTGCCGCTCCGCCTCGATCTCCTCTCCCAGGAGAGGGGATGCCTTCTTCACCCCAACCTGGCCGCACTTCACTTGACAGCGTGGTTGCTCCATGGTTGAACGAGGAGGAGGGAAGGTGTTTGGAGGAGGTCAGAAGGATTCTGCTAGAGAGCAGAAAGCCGTCTACACGGCGGACCTACTTAGCCAAATGGTTTAGGTTCTCTAGGTGGGCGGGGGAGCGGGGCGCCTCCCCGTCATCCGCACCCCTCCAGCTTATTCTAGATTACCTCCTGTCCCTTAGGACCCAAGGCCTAGCTCCGGCCTCGGTCAGGGTACATTTAGCGGCCATTTCAGCCTTTCATCCTCTGGTGCAAGGTCACTCTGTTTTTTCCCATGAGATGACCTCCCATTTTTTAAGAGGACTAGACCGTACATTCCCGTACGCCAGGGCCCCGGTCCCGCAAAGGGATCTAAACCTAGTGCTATCTCGCCTCACGGGCCCTCCCTTTGAGCCCTTGGCCCCGTGTTCCTGGGCCCACCTATGCTGGAAGGTGGCATTCCTGGTGGCTATCACCTCAGCCCGTCGGGTCTCGGAGCTTAGCGCCTTGACCTCGGAACCCCCGTATACGGTCTTCCATAAGGATAAGGTCCAGCTTCGCTCACACCCTGCGTTTCTCCCCAACGTGGTCTCCGCTTTCCAAATGGATCAGGACATTTTCCTACCGGTACTCTGTCCTAAGCCCCATTCCTCCAACGAGGAATGCTGCCTACACACGTTAGACGTACGTAGGGCACTGGCCTTTTACCTCGACAGGACCAGGCCGTTCAGGAAATCCTCGCAACTGTTTGTTGCGTCGGCCGAGCATAATGGATCCATCAGGCAATCCAACCCCATCCAACAAAAGTTGGTAGTCTGACACTTTGAAAGAAGTAACTAGGGAGAGAGATTTGAGCTGGGTAATCTCTCTTTTTCAAATAAATCCGACTACATGCTTAGAATACTTCAGAGTTTAAATGCTGGAGAAGATCTACAAGATTAGCAGTGTATTTAGGATTTAGTGGTAGATGTTCTTTGATAACTGGCTGAGAGCTCTCATAGGCCCACCTTCACTATGATGCAGTAGAACCCAAGCCAAATGTCAGAAATCCATTAAAGGTGCAAAGCCCTGGAAAAAAATAAGCTTTATAAATAAACCAACCTGAAGTCTCTAATGGTTTTAAAATGTATAGCAGGAAAAAGAAGTCATTAATTACCTGTGTATCAACACCAGGATATTCAAGCAAAAGGCTACACTTTTTGTGTCCTTAGTAAAATTAGCAAGAGAGTCATAATTATATGTAAAATAATTTAGCAAACCTTTAGAGTTGGGCATTCATTTTTGGCTCTTATCTTCGCTGTAGCTTCGAAAATATACAACTGTGAATAGATAAGGAGGAAGAGTTAAGTTTGGTGCATATCTTGTGTGTGGATTTCAAACCTTTCACTGCTTTCCCTCTTTTCCAGGTTGGCCTTCCCCCAGTCCCTTTCTGCTAGCCATGTATAGTTTAGCATTTAAAAATAATCTATTTTACAAAGCAGCAGAGAGAAAAATACTTCTCACTGGACCTGTCTAGTGTTGTTTATTTTAATTGCTATTCCAGTGAATACCCCATGTGAAGAGGGGTCTTGCTTCCAAGTGTGTGGTGGAGCATGGAGTGCTCTGCCTGGAGGGAAAAACATCAGAGAAGCACATGGTTCTAAATGAATACTTGGAGTGCAACTATAGGTCTGTTCATGGCTGAGGTTGAACCCAAGTGTGTGCACAGGATTGCTAACCTGCACTTCAAAAAGAAATCCTACCTTTTGATTACTTCTGCATCTCTGAGGATAATGAAACTGCTGTTTCCCTTGACACTAATGTACCTGCTAGTGTCTAAGGTAGTATGGTGATTGGTCCATTATAAATATGTACATACATGGAGAGCAAGGGAAGGACTGGGTTTTTTCCTCTTTAAATAGAATAACAACTTGGAAAATAATTTCCCATCCCCTAATAAGGGGTATCCCTGCTGCAGGCTCCCCAGTGATGTTTACATCCAAAAGCACAAGATTTAACTTTAGTCCCAGCTCCTTGAAAGGTCAGAGCAGTTTGCTGGAGTAACAGACATTTTCACTTTGCAGCCCCAACAGAGACTGTGTGGCAGTAGAGTCATCATTTTTGGCTATTATTGAGCAGTAAGTTTATGGTAGAATGTGTTTTTATTTTTAAAGTTATACATTTCTTTAAAATAAACTTGGTTTATTTTAAATTATTTCCTTGCATATCCTCATTGTTTAATATTGTTAATACTACTTTGCTTTCTTGCATAAAACACTTCCTGAAGAGTGTTTTTATTAGTAATTCCTTAGAATAGGGATCTCTATGGACAGCACTTCAGAAGGCAATGATTGCAATCATTATTTGAATGGCACAGTCATTTTAAATTGTGCTGTCATTAATTGCAAAGATGAAAGCTTCTTAGTTGTATCTATCTGATCTCTGACATTTCTGAGATGGCATAGGCTATAGTTTTAAATTTTACTCTGATAGAAAGCCTTCTAGTGTCTACTGTTTAAATCAAAGCCTCTGATTTTAACATAACATAGGCTGAACATAAACATAGGTTTAATGTGCTTGAAAATGTTCATGATTGTCTAGTGCTTACATTGCTCTTTGTGCCTTAGTGGGTTTTTTTGATTTTTTGGATAGGGTTTTTCCTCCTGACATTTTCAAAAATAAGGGACACTGTGACAGGGCCTATAATTTAAAGGGCAAATAAAAACAACCTGAGATGGATAACACATAGTTTATCAATGCTCTGAATAATATCTTTGCTGGTTTTTAGCTTGATTCATAAATGTAATATAGAAGAATTTGAGTGGGTCAGTGCGTATATACATTCTGGAATCATGGGTTTGAAATGCAAAGGTTTGTTTTTATTATTTTTGATCTTGTAAAAGTGCTATACAACATTTAATTTACTTTTTAAAGTTCACTTGCTTCTTATTACTTTCCCAAAGTAAATATTTTATTTGACTTCCAAGTTTTTATTTCTGTAGAAAACAGACCAGATTACCCAATACTGTTCACTTAGCCCTGTTTGATATACCTTCTACCAAGACCATTTAGGTATTGTTTGGCTTTCTGTGTGTGGAACACCCATACAATACAACTTTAAGATCCTACAGAGGTCTGTTTACCTGTTACTGCCTAGGAAGAAGATATCATAACTTGTAGGTCACGGGCCAGATTCTCAGCTGGTGTAAAATGACATACCTCCACTGACTTCATTGGATCTACATGAATTTATACCACATGAGGATCTAGACCCACATTTCTATCCAAAACTTTTGTTACAAGTCACCCTGAGATTACTATAACTGAAAATATTAAAGAACAAAATATTTTTTCCAGTTTCTTTACTTTATACATGTGACAGGAATTTGACAACATATAGTTAGGGCCCTACCAAATTCACAGCCATGAAAAACGCGTCACGGACCGTGAAATCTGATCTTTTGTGTGCTTTTACCCTATACTACGCAGATTTCACGGTGGAGACTGGCGTTTCTCAAATTGGGGGTCCTGACCCAAAAGGGAGTTGGGGGGGGGTGTGTCACAAGGTTATTTTTTGGGGGGGTCACTGTATTGTCACCCTTACTTCTGCGCTGCCTTCAGAGCTGGACAGCTGGAGAGTGGCGGCTATTGGCTGGGCGCCCAGCTCTCAAGGTAGCGTCCCACCTGCAGCAGCGCAGAAGTAAGGGTGGCAATACCGTACCATGCCACCCTTCTTTTTTTAAAGAATTAGTGAATTAAAAAAAATTCAGATTGACCTTTTAAAAATCTCAGGGCACTTTTCAGCAGACTCTGAACAAAACATTTGTTTCATTACTAATCTTCTCAGAATTCTAATGTACAAAGCTGTGTGCAGACAACACAACAGCTATTGGGCTCTTCAAAAAAATTATCTCACTCTTACTGCAATACTAATACCTAACTCAGTACTTAAGATATCCCAAAATTATTTTACAAAGTATGAAAAATGCTAACTAAAATCAGATTATATTCTTTTGGGCTGAATTTTGCCCTGTTCAATCCCATTGATTGCAGTCAGGGCAGAATTTGTACCAGTACATATATTTTTGAAACTTCACGTTTCTTGCACCAATGAAAGATTACCATTGACTTCAGTGAACTTTGGATTAGATCATATAAGCATAGTTTATATGTTAATAATGCATTAGATTTATAGCTGCAGAAGAAACTTTGAATTTGAAGTATCAGAGGGGTAGCCGTGTTAGTCTGAATCTGTAAAAAGCAACAGAGGATCCTGTGGCACCTTTAAGACAAACAGAAGTATTGGGAGCATAAGCTTTCGTGGGTAAGAACCTCACTTCTTCAGATGCAAGTCAGAAGTGAGGTTCTTACCCACGAAAGCTTATGCTCCCAATACTTCTGTTAGTCTTAAAGGTGCCACAGGACCCTCTGTTGCTTTTTGAATTTGAAGTGGCATGTAAAAGGCTTCTAATAGTTACTAAATTCTGAGTCCCAATTTGTAAATTATAAATATCCTGACCTTCTTTACACTTTATCAACAGTTGTAGCAACAGAAGAAGTCGTGACTGCAGAATCTGTGGATGGTGCAATTCAGCAAGTTGTCAGTTCTGGAGGTCAACAAGTTATTACTATAGTTACAGATGGCATTCAGCTTAGTAATCTCCATTCAATTCCAACCAGTGGAATAGGTCAGCCAATCATTGTGACCATGCCAGATGGACAGCAAGGTGAGTGGAAACAAGATGCTCAATGTGAACTTCAAGAATAATTTTAGTTTAAAATATTGATAGTTCAGGAAAATGTGGGACTTTTTACATGATCTGTTTCTGTGTACAGCAGATAGAATTGACATTTGCTGTATGCAGTGAATTATTTCTCTAGATCTGCTGCGGTTGAGTGAGATGCCATTTGAATTGCATTTTTCTGTAGATGTGCAAGTTGACTAAAATGGATCAAAAATAGACTATAGGGGGGAAAATAAAATTTAAGAAATTAATTTAACCAGTGAGATTTGAGTATGTAAATATATTAAGAAAAGAGTGGGGGAGGAAGAAAAATTTCTAAGGTATAAGGAGGAGAGATAAGATGTTGAAGGGAAAGATGATGATTGTCTGTCTGACTTATCTCTATCAACCCGGATTGTTAGAAATTCAGTATCAAAAACAGAAAATCTAGAACACCAACAATAAAACAGCATTTCAGTAGTTAGGACCCTTCTTCAGAGGAACTCAGGCAGAAAAGTGGGATGCAGAATTTGAGGACCCAATGCCAGGAGTAGCGTTTGCATACCATGGCGATTTGCTCTATGAGGATCCTCTTTGGACTCCAGGATACCCAGGACTTTTGAGGGTGGTCTGGGAGAGGAGCAGGGGCAGAGCTGGCGGATTCATGAATACACATTGTACCCACTGGAGCAAGAGTACATTTACTGTGGGGAGCTATTGCTGCAATAATGGTTGTGGAGTTTTGTGTAAATATTTCCTGTAACAGCTACTCCTGATGGAAATGATTGCTTTCTTGGTTTCCCATCATCAGATCATCCCTTGGGATTCCCAATGCAGAGCTTGGCTTCTTAAAGCCATGCACTGTGGTCCAGGATTTGGTCCACAGTCTGGGCAGATACAGCCATTTATCACGAAACATGAATCTATACAGTTACTAATTGAACTGACCTTTAGAAGAGCACATAGCCAACCAAATGAATATTTAGGAAATATGTACACAATGATGTAGTATAAATATGACCATAATTTTCTCAGGGTTAGGGAACTGCTAGATTTTTTTCAAATTGCCTAAATGATTGACCTCAAAAATATAAGCCATCTTACTTTTCACAAATTATTTAAAAGGGGAGAGTCTTGTAGCTGAAGCACAGAATTGTGAGTAGGGAGATCTAGTTTCTGTTCCCAGCCCTGCCACACAGATTTTCTGTGTGACCTTGTGACTGGTCACTTAATGTATGTGACTTGTTAACCCATGAGTACAATGGGGTTGATGATACTAATCATCACCCCTGCTGTGTTGTGAACCTAAATTTAAAAAAGAACTTTGAAATCTCTAATAGAAGATGCAGTAGAAGTTGTAGTATAACATTTTGAACTTAATGAGTATTTCATTGAGCTGTGGTTTTTCTGTTGGAAAAGCTGGCTTTTCCATTTACTCTTGGAAGTAGAATTTTACATATTAGTTTTATGTAATGTAAATACTGGCCCTTGTATTCATATTTATCTATATACATATGTTTTTATTGAAGTATTAACAGTACCAGCAACAGACATTGCTGAAGAAACTGTGATCAGTGAAGAACCACCAATCAAGAGGCAGTGCATTGAGATTGTTGAAAATCGTGTGGAATCTGCAGAAATAGAAGTAAGGAGTCTATTACCTGATGTGTTTTAACTAGACTTTTCAAAACTGAATGTTTTGTTGTTTCTTGTTTTATAGCTGAGTTTCTATGCAGCCACAGAATGAAGATAACTTGTTTGTATTCCCATATCCTTTGTTAGTTTATATCAGAACTTGTGTTTTACAAAATTGCTATAGGAAGTGGATAGCATATGTATGTTCAATCCTCAGGGTGCCCTTTTGTGCATATAGATGTCACTTATTTTTGCACTTGGTTAATTTTTTTCTTTTAATGTCACCGGTAAATTCCTAAAACTAGATACTGATATATCATCATCTGATATGACTTTTCATAAACAATGAATGAAAATAATGTCCTTTCATCTCTCTCTTAAAAAACACATTTGTCTTGATTACTGAAAATATATCATGATTTTACCATTAATGACATCTAGGTAAGATATTTAATGAGTGAAAGCACAAAACAATAAGATTCTATCTTGCTGTTATAAAAAGCGTCAAATTTTTACCATTTTTTTTTTGGACTGTGTGTGCAGAAATATGAATAAAGCATCTAATGGCACTATCTGGTATACTGAAATTTTGGTACGAAAGTCCTAACTTAAAATAAAAGTGAGATCTATCCTTTTCTTATATAAATTTATTTATTTAATACCAAAACATTTTTCTGCAATCCACAATTGTGCATTGGCAACCTCTTTACTACTTGCTCTATCCCTGCAACTTACTTTGATTGAAAGTCTATGAAAACTGCTACCTACCCTGATTAGACTGTAAATGCCAAATTATTTTGTTTCTGTGAACCTTACAGTATTTTGTTTCACAAATGTATTTCTCCTAGTTTTGTTATATTGAATACTGTTTTGTGCCTCATTATTGTACAGTGTGTGGAAGGATACCTCATGCATGACTAATAGCTATAATTAGCATATTTCCTCAATGACTTTTTCTTTCCATAATATATCACATGAAGTGCATTCTGTCTTTAGTTGTGCGATCATTACAGACTATCAATAGAGCTGAGATTTTCTTGCTGCACTTTTTTTAATGTATGATTTATAATAAAAACAAAACTTCTGTTCACATTCTTTTAAAAATCTGCCTGAATTTTTCTTAGAAAAGAAAATTATAATTCCTTGATCTCAATAACTTAATAGATTTATTAGTTAGAGACAAAAAAGTGATTGATTGATTAAAAATGAATCAATTCATTTCTAAATACAGTAGGTCGGCATGGTAATATAAATACTTTTTTAAAGTGACACTGTTAGCTTAAGTCATATATTTTAAACACGCCTTTTTAACAATGTTACTAAAAATACTTAATAGATTTTTTTAAGTGTTTCACTTATGTTTTCAAAAAATTTAAGTATCAAGGTAAATTTAGGCCTTGATTATGAAATGAGGTGTACAGGCAGATCTCTGCACCTGCACAGAACTCTGACTTTGGGGGACAGGACCACAGGGGTTTGATTGCATCCATTTTATTGCAGGATTGGGAATTAGTGTTCAGGGTCCCTTTAAGCTACTTCATGCTGTTGTCAAAGCTTGAGAGCAGAAGCTGATAAATGCTTGAAACAAGAAAAGAAAATAACCTAATATCTGAAGATAACTTTCATCTCTTCGTGAATTTAATGTTGCAAACGTCCTTATCATTGCCTTCAGTTATTTGATAGATTTTTAAATAAAAGGGGGTAACATTATTTAAGGCTAATAACCGCTTTCTTCACCATTTTAAGTTCTTAGAACATCTATATACTATGGGCTTTATTTCTGAAATCTTTATGTAAACCAAACTCCCTTTGACTTCAATGAGAAACTTTCCTGTTTAGTGGTTGCAGGATGAGGACTTTGGTTAATTTTTTCAGTTTGACTTCTGAGCTCTCATAAGAGTGTATTAATCAAAGTTTGAATTGCTAGGAATACAACTCACTTAACTATAGTTTTGTGAAGAATGTCAAAACTTTCAGAAGTCACAAACATTTTTAACATACTTAATAAGTGGCAAAATTTAACTTACATAAACTTTTATTTTTTGAATGCTCGAGTTAAATATTGACTTCCATCCATAACTTACTGTAATATATTAATTTACAATGATTCATATTCTCCATTGAGTTTGACTTCCACTTTTCCCAGAGTAGCTTGGGAAAAGTGTGACACATATATTAGAAACACTAAGCAAATGGAATTATCATTTCATAAGTCTTTTTAATTGAATTTTGTCATAAGTTCATCTTAAAGGATCACATTTCTTCTTTTTTATCAACTGTTAAATATTACCTGACATTTTCCATTATTTCTAATTATACACAGCACTATCTGTGCTGCCCATAATAACACCTAATATAACTCTAACCGAACAAAATACTCTCTGTAAAAATACAAAAATTGGCAATGGGGGTTATGGGGCATTTGTAGTTAGTGAAACTACCTCTAACTCACTTTTTTTCTTTTAAATTTAAGTCTCTCTTTAAAATACAGCCAGACTTCAGATGAATACTTGTGTAAAATATTGTACAGTAAGAAAAACACTTTATCTCAGGGAAACTGTGAGAATGAACTATCTGCCTACTCAAAACCACTACCATCCATATCTTCTGTAGCGATTCCTAGCACTGATGTGGTTCCTTTCAGTTCCCAGTCATTCTGTCTCTGGTAGACAGCTTTATGCAGTTTCTCTTCTTTTTTTCTGGTGAGATTTTTCCTTTCCCCCCCTTCTCCGTGTTCTGTCTCAGAAAGAATGTAACCACTGTGCTTCAATTGCATATATGCAGCATACAGGGTGGTGATATGAGTTCCTCACTCAGGAGCAAGTCCCCCTGTAGTCTATCCAAATTAGAAAAGGCTCTCCTGTTCACTTCAGCCATCTACACTTAAGGGAAGTATTCTAAAACTGGGTTCTTCATCAGGTGGACTTGTTTGTTGGGATTAGAGATCAACAATTCTTTCTCTGTTGTACCAAGTATTGGGACCCCCATGTTTGGAGGGTGAATGCCCTCTCATTCAACTATCTAGGGGCCTGGATGTAGGTATTGGATTCCCCCCACTTACAGCAAGATGGCCAGGAATATATCAAGAGGTTTCAAGCAAAGATTATTCTAAGTGCTCTCTTATGAATCTGAAGGTCTTGGTTCTCCAGTGTGCTTCAAAAATCCATCTTCAGCCCATAGCCTCTCTCATTCTTCAGGGATCAGCTGTATCTGTATTCAGTTCTTCACCTGAACCTGTCGAGGTTAAAGTTAACAGCCAGAAGGTTGAAGCTACAGTCCTTTAGCCACTGTACTTGGTGCAAGTTTTAGAAATTCCAGCCACTCAAAGCATCCTTGAGTTCTTACTTAGCTACAATTATTTGTAGTTTCAAATGTCAGCCGTTGGAGCTCTAAACCTGATTAACGGTTGATATACCCTTCCTGTACATCCTCATGTCTTCTACTTCCACAGAGCTGTCAGCTGTTTAAGATCATGTATCAGAAAGTATCTGATGGCTTGTTGGTGTTTTACTTTTGAACCTCTGTGCTCATACCAGAGTTCTTTTTAAACCCATGAGTGAATCTTGTTTATATTTCATAGCAATCAAAATTATCTTTCTTGTGGAAATCATCCTGTTAGAAGTGTGAGTTGGTCTGAGTCCTTTCCTGCAAGGAGCTATTCTTTGAGTGCTTGCTCATGTTGATTCCATTCTAGGTGTCCATGCGCCCACATGCATAGTAGTCGGAGATTTTTGCCTTAGCGGTATCTGTAGGGTCAGCTATGGCGCCCCCTTGAGTGCCGTGCTCATGCACTGGTATATCAGGCACTGCCAACCCTACGCCCTCTCAGTTCCATCTTACCACCCGTGATGGTCAGAGCGCCTCGTCTAGCATTGCAAGAGCATTAGCAGTTTTTTACACCTCTTTGTTTATCTTCTTTGTGTATATAGTGTGTAGGTACTTAGTTAGCCATTAAATTAAGTGTTAGGTTATTTGGTAGTTAGAGTCCCGGCTGGGACTTCGCCCCGGAGTGGGGCATGCCCCGTTCTCCTGGCTTCAAACCATGCTCGTCATGCAACAGGCTGATGCCTGTTAGTGACCCCCACGACAGCTGTTTGAAGTGCTAGGGGGAGTCCCATAGAAAGGTCAAGTGCAGAATCTGTAAAAACGTTTGCCCTAGCACCCGAAAGGAGCGGGATATCCGCTTGAGTGCCGTCCTGATGAAGGCTGTGCTTCGCCCTGCATCGGAGCCCTCTTGCTCGGACCCCACGCCAAGCACCTCGGCATCTGTGCGGAGCGCATCATTGGCACCATGCTCCGCCTGGCACCTTTCCCCCTCACGAGTGCCTAAGAAGCGCAAAAGAAGAAGAGCCCCCGGCACCAGAGGTAAAGGGGCTTCGGGCAAAGGACCTATGTCAGGCCATGTGCCCACCCCGGGGCTTCATGGGTGTACTCATAGGGTAGTGGAGCACTCTCGGTCCCCATCTCCGCAGCCTAGGACCCCGGCATCACACCCTTGGTCTCCGGTCAGAAGGCCCAGGTTCCCAACGCCACGTTCTCCGCCTACGAGGCATGGGAGACGAGTTGAAGCACTGGTCTCCATACCCCTGGTACCAGCAAGCTTCCCACCAAAGATCTCAGGTTACCTTCGCCTAGATAGTCTCCCAGATGTCAGTCCCCACCGGGACGGGATCGCTCCCTATCATGGCACCGGTCTCCAACTCCCTGGTACTGCTCGTCGATCAGGCACCGATCCTCTCCCTCGTCTCACCGGTTGCCAACTAGGGTCAGTTGGCAGACTCTGGCCTCGATGGCTCTGCTCTGGTCGCCGGAAGTGCAATGGTCCGAGTTGGACTGGGAGTTCAGCCCAAGGGGGTGATTCGCTGCCGACCCACAAGACCGGTGCAGCATCTGCAGCGGTGGCGTGGCAGCAGTGACAGTAGCCCACTCAATATCCATACTGGAACCTGTCGGGCGTGCCCATAATACCAGTCCCATATTCCCACCAGTCTTCCCTGTCTGCCTTGGACA